AACTTGCCTTGGCACAGAGGGACACGCCCCAGCCCATGCATCAATCTGCAGTGGGAACAGAATCTATCTTCCGACCTTTTCCTGGCTCTCTTACAAATGTCTCTCGCTTTTGTATTGCAGATGCAAAGAGCTTGGCAGAAATGCTAATAAGGTGAGTGAGCAGCACCTTCTTTGCCAGTGTAAGAACCTGTCTCGCTTGCCGGTGTAGTTCATGGCACCAGAGCGCACCCTCCGCGTGTGTCCACATAGGCTGCAGTCGCACCTCCCACTTGCAGTGTGGACAGACCCACAGTCATCGGGGGGGTCACTTCCAAGCCTCCCTTTCTAATGCCGCTTGAAAGCAGGTGTAGCCAGTGGCTGCTGCTAGCCCCCCCCCATCCTGACAGCAGACAAATGGTGCCTGAGAAGTGGCCCTGTGGGGCTGTCCACCCGATGGGGGTGTTTGAGTCTGGGATCGTACCCAGCATTGACCCAGCAGGCGGGAGGCTGCCCTGAGGAAGAGGGGATAGAGGTGGTGCCCTGACAGGCGCCGAGGCCCGGCGCCGTGCGCAGGCTGCGGCTGTGTGACTCGCCTCACAGTCCTGCCTGCTCATTTGGGGTAGTGTGAGCACCCAGCGCCGCAGGGATTGGATCCCTGCGATGATGGAGCACAGCAAAGACCCTCTTTTACCCCCTCATTGGGGATTTGAGGGTGTCATAACATTGACTCTCTCCCAGTGACGGCAGCGGGTCTGGTGCGTCGCTTTCTGCTGGTCTTTCAAAGCACGGCAGAGCGATTTCCAATACGTGGCAGGTGTCGGAATGTGATGGGGTGGCGACTTGTTCTTCACCCACAGCCCTTTTGTGCAGTACCCCCGCCCCCAGCAGGAAGAAAGGGGTCGTAGAGCTGGTCGCCGGTAAGGCTGTCAGTGAAGTGGAGGCCCTACTCTATTCATTGGCTTCTCTCTTCTCTGCAGCAAGAATAACCGGAGCTTCGACACACCCGTGAAAGGGCCCCCCCAGGGGCCCCGGCTGCACATCGATATTCCTCGTGTCCAGCTCCTCATTGAGGACAAGGAGGGCATCAAGCAGCTAGGTGGGTGGGGCTCTAGCCTCAGATCTAATGGCACTCGGCCTTGTTACAGTTTAAAGGATGGCTGAGCAAACCCCCCCTTCCCTGATGAGGGCCATGGCGGCACCCTTCCAGTAGCCCCACAGGTTCCCGGCTGGGTCCAGTCAGAGTGTTGCAGGCCGGGACGCACTCCTGCTCGTTTGCCAGAGACTAGGGCAGCGGCAGCGAGCACTGTGAGATGGGACAGGCGTGGCTATGCTTTGAGAGAACCCACAGCAGGGTCCTTGGGGAAGAGAAGCTTTCCCCTGCTATGCTTCTGGCCAGGGAAATACTATTCCCAGGTAGAGATCTGCCTGCCCTGGCTTCTGAGTGCCAGCTCCCCATGCCAAGAGCCCGTCCTGGCCAGGGCATGTACTGGAGGGTTTCTCCCCACCCCACCTCCAATCCCCTTGTATTTATTCCATCTTCAGCCAAGTTGCCAAGACTGCTTGGGATCATTCTCACACTCCAGTTCTAGGGGGACTGGGTTGGAAGCTGAGAGGGGCCCTCAGGACAGAGGCTGGGAGTCGCCTCTGTCTTGCCCCCATTTCATGCCCGGGAAGGAGGAAGTGCCACTTCCCTGGCCCTGCACCATACAGCACAGGAGGAGCTGTGTGAAGCCCCAGCTCTTTTGTGTGTATTGAGCCTGAGGGAGGTCCCCCAAGCAGCGAAGCCAGAGATGGGTCTGGCAGGGAGTTACTGCCAAGGGGGTCAGGACAGTGTGGGCTGGTGATGCTGGTTACTTGCCACAGAAGTGTCTGTGGAGCTGTCTGAGCTCAGTCCCCAATCTCTGCTTCTTGCAGGGGATGATAAAGCTACAATACCAGTGACAGACACAGAGTTCAGCCAAGCTGTGACTCCCCAGAGCTTCTGCACTGGAGTATCTTTGCACCATCCAGCTCTGATACAGAACACCGGACCCTTGATCGACATGTCTGACATTCGACCCGGAACCAGTAAGTACCCGAGGCTGTGGGGGCAGAGAGAGGAAACTGAGCCAGGCTGTTCGCTGACTGAGTACCCCAGCCATTGAGCTGAGTGTCGTAAGGGGGCTGTCTCCTCCCAGACCAGCTTGGGTGGAGTTAGGCAGCCTCTGAGTGTGCCTACTGGATCCAGCCCCTGCAGGGCTGGGCCATGCCTATGTGCCCTGCTTTGAGAATCCTGCTGGGGCTTAGGCATGAGAGGGAGATGGGGCGTGCCAGAGGTGGCAATAGATGTGCTCACAGGCACCTAGAGAACTATTAGAGCACAAACTGAGGTGTAGTTGGGGGATTGCAGTGGTGCCTAAAAGTGGGACCTAGGCACCTCAGTTGCTGTGTGGCTTTGCACCCCCAAAATCGATGCATGGGACCCATACTGAGCTCACTCATTCTCAGTTCAAGGCCCAGCTCAGCTCTGGCTGCCTCAGCGCTGTATTGTAGGAATGGGGAGACTCTATACCCTCAAATTGTACTGCAGACGCTGTTCTGAGTCTTCATCAGGCATCCCACGCCAGTTGGGCTGTGTTTGCATTTTAGAGCACTTTAAAGTGAAAGGCAGGTCAGACGGCAGGAGAGGAAGTGAGTTGTACCTCAGGAGCCCCTTCACCATCACCCCAAACTTGTACCACGCATGGGACCCACAGCCTACTACTAGCATGCACGTTTCCACGACACACTGATGGGCTGTGAACTTTAGAGCACTTTGCACATTTTCTTTTAAACAGAAATGCTACTGTAGCTGGTGTGTCTCTCAGGTGGCTGTTAGCATTTCTTGTCTTCCTCACAGCAGCACCACCGCATAAAACGAAAGTGAAAATCTAATACTGCCTGGATTACTGGGGGTTGGAGCTTTGGGTGGATCATGTCAGGCAAGGCTAGGGTGATATGTCCTACGTGAATGCTGCCCATTTCCCCCCCTAACTTTGTGCCAAAGAAAAGTGATTTCTTCCCATCCCAAGAACAAGTGTGAAATACCAGCTGTGGTGTGTGTCAGTAACCTAACTGCACCCTGTCCTTTATAAGCCTGCTCCCGTTACCGAACATGGTGGTGCTGCCGCCTGCTCCAGAAGCCACCCTCCCCTTTGTGCAGCGTGGCTGTGAGAGCTCCCGTGCAACAAATGCAATTGTGACAGGGACGAGTGCAGCAGCAGCAGCAGGGCATTGAACAGACATCAGACAGACAGATTCTGAGGGGGAGTGAAAATGTTGCAACTTACTGTCATTCAATATAGCTCAAAGGGATGTTACATTAGACATTCTGTAGCTCATAGTTAGATGTAGGGTTACATCATTATATTTTGTTATTCACACAAGACCTTCTGCTAAGAGTTATTACTGTTATATAAATAGTGTACACGGATTGTCTTTAGTGATGATAATTCCAGTTGCTTTAGACTTATGGCTCCAGCTGAGCAGATAACATCAACAATCTATCCCTTATAATGAGAAGGCAGGGAGTCTAAATATGTGCATAACTTCATAAAAATAGCAGGCAGAAGGGAAGTTTCTCAAATCAGTCCATTCTACAAATGACAACAAATATTTTGATGTTTGTATCATGTTATACAAGCGACTACAGACTCTTGCTCTAATAGAAAACCAAACAGCACAGGAAAATGCATAAACGATATCATTTGGAGCTGAGTGTTTTCCAGACTTTGAAAACTATTATCAATCAATTGTATTTGGAAGTGTTCTGCCAATCTTCCACCAGTTATGGCTTTTTCTGATTTTGTTTCAGATTGGATGCCTGATAATGTTTAAACATCCATGCTGGTGATGACCACTAGATATGTGCCTAATGTGGTAGCAATCAACTTTTTCTAGCTGATGAGTTACCCCTTAGTGCCCCAAATGGGTCAGGGCTGGTAAACGACAGACACTTATGTCTGTTGGTGGACAGATGTCTAGCAGTATACACAGACATACATCCGTTTGCGCTTATGTCTAGCTGTAGACACACATGTTCACCCTGTAGACAGGTGGGTCCCAGGGACGCTCTGTTTGCCTCACGAGAGCACATCTTTCTCAATTCTCAGAGAACAAACCTAACTTTTGTGCTTCAGACCCAGTTTCCCGGAAGAGCGTGAAATCAACGCACAGCACCCGGAACAGGTACTCCAGCCAATGGACTCTCACCAAATGCCAGGCGTCTACTCCGGCACGTACTCTTACATCAGACTGGAGGACTGTGGGATCCCAGCATGGAATTACGGTCACAGAGAGTGACAGCTATAGCGCCAGTTTATCTCAGGACACGGGTGAGTTGGCAGGATGGGGAAGGTGGAGGTGGGGATTGCTGCTTGAGGGAAGGCCAGGTGGCTGGCACACGTAGTGGAGCAAGAGAGAAACCAGAGGCAGCAGCACTGCTCAGTTATCCACTTACTCACTCCTGGGAGCAGCTTCTGCCCCACCCACCCTCTACCGTCTGTCCCGCAGGAAACAGCCCAGGGTATCCACAGAGAGCCTCCTGCCACCCATCTTCCGGGCTGAGTATGCTCTGCAGCAGGGTGGAGTTGATTTAAATCGTCAGTCAGGAAGACTTGAGTTAATCATGGATTTCTACATAAAAGTGCATTGGTGTTGGTTGTTATAACCTTAATACATATTCTTCACAACTCAGAGATAGATGTAGCTTTCATTTTTAGAAGGGACCTGCTATACATTTTTAAAAACTTTTCAGTTTCGTTTTACAGCTATATCAGAAAATGAATGACTGATTGATTGGGTATTTCGTTTATAAAAGGTAATTGAAGCAGATATTTATGGAGTCATTGGGAGGTGAACTATCTCCAGGTTAATCACTAGTCTTTGGAGGATTTTCTTGCCATGCCGTATTAGGAGGAGAACATCACTGGGCAGACATTTAAATTGTTTTATTTAACAGCAACCATATAATAATTTAACAAAACAAGCATTTTTGAATTTAGTTAAATAATTTTAACAAGCTTGAATGTTTAATTAAAGAGTTTTAAATGAATCTTTAAAACAAAAATTAAATCCAATATTGGCTGCTGCAGCTAACGCAGCTGTCTGTCTTCATCTTCCTGTTTTGTTCATAATCTGGAAAAGAAAAACAAGCTTTCCTATGTCCCAACTGATCTCTCAATTTGGAATGAATTAGTCCAAAGGAAGAGAATAGTCTTTCTGTACCTGCAGAAGAAGCTACTGCTGTTAAAATGTGAGATCATCACTTCAATGGTCTCTGAATCCAAGTGCTTGTGTGACTTTCTGTAAAACATCATCAGCAAATGTATATTTATTTCATGCTTCACTCTGAAGTTTATTCTAGTTGGCAGGATGGAGGGATGATTGCTAGATGCCTATGTCATAGCCAACTCCTCCTCTTCAGCAGTAAAGGTCTGACCCTGGTACCGAGTATTGAGAATATTTGCCAGAAAATGAGCTGGAGATGGTGCTTGTCCCATGTATTTGTTTAATGCTTGTAATTTAACTCTGTTGTGGCATAATTCTCTTTTTAAGACCTCACTCAGTTTCTTCCAACTGTCACCAATAAAACAGCTATTTTCCCAATATTTTGTTCAAGGCTACAGAAATTGGCTTCAGGATACTCAGTGTGTGTTCAACATTTCTCTTAAGCCCAATGTTGTGAACTTTGGCGGTGACAGTACCCTCTATTTTTTCTTGATTTTGTTCACAAAATGTCACCAGATTAGGCCAGTTCTTGATCTAGTGCTCAAAACAGTCCACTACTGAGTTCCATTGCAGGTGTCGTGGGAGAGTTAGCTTGGTTCTGGCCAGAGGAGCTGCTGCCAAGTGGCTGTTACAGAGTATTTTGCAATGTAGAATCCTAGAATATCAGGGTTGGATGGGACCTCCTCTAGTCCAATTCCCAAACTAAATCATCCTAGCCAGGGCTTAAAAACCTCTCCGGATGGAGATTCCACGACCCTCCTTGTGGAAAAGGTTTTCTAATAGCCAACCTAAAGTTCCTGCTCTACCTGTTGAGACTATTGCTCCTTGTTCTGTCACTGCAGAGAATGGTCTGGTGCCATCCTCTTTGGAAACTCCGCCCCCAGCATTCTTCCCTGCTGGAGACTAAACAATCCCAGTTCTCTTGGCTTCTCCTCATAAGTCATGTGCTCCAGCCCCCTAATCAGTTTTGTTGCCTGCTGCTGGACTCTCTTCAATTTTTCCACATCCTTCTTGTAGTTTGGGGCCCAAAACTGGGCACAGTACTCCAGATAAGGCCTCCCCAATGCTGAACAGAGGGGAATGATCATGTCCCTTGATCTGCTGGCAATGCTCCTACTTATACAGGCCAAACTGCTGTTAGCCTTCTTGGCAACAAGGGCACACTATTGACTCATATCCAGCTTCTTGTCCACTGTTACCTCCAGGTCCTTTTCTGCAGAACTGCCACTTACTTAGCCAGTCAGTGCCTAGTCTGTAGTGGTGCATGGGATTCTTTTAAGTAAGTAAGTGGGGGACTCTGCACTTTGTCCTTGGTGAATCTCATTGGATTCCTTTTAGCCCATCTCCTAATTTGTCTTGTCTAGGTCCCTGTGTATCCTATCTCTACCCTGCAGTGTATGTAGTGGTGTTCCTCCCAATTTAGAGTCACCTGCAAACTTGCTGAGGGTGTAGTCCATGCTATCCTCCAGATCATTACTGAAACTATTGACCAAAACTGGCCCTAGGACCAATCCTTGGGGCAGTCTGCTTGAGATTGGCTGCCAACTAGATGTGGAGCTATTAATCATTACCTAGCTTTCTATCTATCTATGTGCCTTATAGTCCATTCGTCCAGCCCATCCTACTTAAACTTGCTGGCCAGAATACTGTGGGAAGAGTGTATTGACAGTACACTTCTGGGCTTTCCTGGTCAGGATGCCAGATTGATGACTCAGTCCCCCATAGGAGGGAGACTCTGACCAGCACCACCTGCTGCCTCCTCCTGGGAGTGGTGATTGTGGAACTCCCATCCCTAGGACAGCGCATCTTTGATTGGTGGAGTCTCCATCTGCTTCCTTCCCTCAGATGATGGTGTAGGTGGCACTCTGCATTAGGACCTGTGGAGAGAACATGGAAGCGGGTGCTCACCTGTATCTGCAGTGCTGGTACATGGATGCTCGTCTGTTGTCTTTTGGAAGTCACATGCTGCCAAGTGTCTTCACGGTCCTCCTGTTCCTGCTGGGTGGCCTGCTTGGCTTCCTCAGAATGTTGTCCTGGACAGATGTCAGGATATGTGTCTGCAGGTGCATTGTCATGTTCTGTCCTGCAACAAAGGCTTGATGTGTGTTTCTCTAGTCCTTGAATTGTCTCTTCCACTAGGGAGCCCAGCTTGTGCTTTGGCCTCTGTCCTGGGGAAGGAAGACAAATGTGGCACAATGGCTGAGAGGAGGAAGATCATATGGATGCGAGCTAACAGTGACTTCAGCTGTTGCAGCTACTACTGTGAGAAGTCTGTGCGACCCAAGAGTCAGTGGGCCCTCCCTGGCCAGCTGACCTCTGGCAGCCTCTCTGCTGAGTGTTGCCCAGGTGTTTTTCAGCTGGCTTGATGCAGGGGTCCTGGCTCACAGCCCCACCCAGCAGCCTAGCATTCAGCCCATGGATGGCCCATGTGGAACACCAGCACTGCAATATCTCAGTCCCTTAACGCTCTTTCATGGTGGTGGAACGAGTGCTGGGGGGTTTGAAGCGAGGGGCAGGTTCTGGCTGCAGCAGTGCAGGCCTGCCCCCTTGCCCCCTGTTAAACTCCCTTGTAAACTCCCCTGTTTGCCATCCCTGTTCGCACGCTCCTCTGGTCGCTTAGGGCCAGGCCTCTTATAGTCCCAGTGGCCCTGCCCCCTGGGAAGGGGCTGATGGGTACCATTAGGCTTAGTGCTCACAGCCTTGCCTAGCTGGCTGCTGGGCTCAGCATTGGCTCAAGCAGAGCACACTACAGCCAAGATTCATGCCCCAGGGGCCACATATTCACTCCCCCATCACCAGCAGACCTCCCTCTCAAAACACCCTTCCTACAACATTGGCCTTTGGGTAGGAGGTGCATCAACTGAGCATGCAACCACATGTGGTTAGCTCAGGACACTCCTCTAAAGAGTGCTTCTCATCTTGGATACATTTGCAGCATTGTCTGTGACCAAGCAACATACTAGACATTTCCCTTCTCCCCACACTTTGTTATAGCTTTTCCTGCTGTGGGTGCATTTCCTGATGTCTCCATTGGTTCTGTAAAGAAGACATTCCCTCCTTCCATTGTCACACAAGCACCTACAACCAGAGCATTGTGGACATGTCTCCACCCATCAAGCCTCAGGTTGACCACTTCACCATCTAGCCCTTTCGCACACTGCTCAATTTCTCTTTCAGACATTTTATCCAGCAGTGTGCCTGTGACATCTGCTCTGCTGGGTGGACTGTATCCCAGTCTTAACAGCCAAACCCCCTTAATGAAGTGAGGGTTCTCAATCATTCGGCACAGAAAGTTTATGGTATAAACAAACCAGGAATATTTTCAAGCACTTACCTCTTTCTGTGATCTCCTGATTCTTTGCACAAACATTTCTACAGCTCTTTCTGGCTGATGGAGAGTTCATTTTCTTTTCACTACATGGGATATACAAGGGCACAGTGACTGAAACACTATCACTGGCAGACAACGCTGAAACTATACAAAATGACAGTAACCATGAAGGTGGATGGATAGGCTTCAGAATCCTGTATGTTGAGGACAGATTCTTCTCACCAGACATCGCTGCAGTTAGTTATCATCATGCTCCTCATTACATGCACTGACACTCAGATAAAAAATCCATAGCTGAACAAGACAGATCTTCCTTTGACAATTTCACCTTTAGAGAAACAACTACCAATCTCTTGTGCTCACACATGACAATTCAAGAATAGTCCCGAAGGAAGACAGACCATCCTTAAGAAAAAAGTATGAAATAAACAAAGTTTACCAAGCTGAAGATCCTGCATGTTCCTTTCATTAGCTTCAACACAGCTTCCACCAGAGGAGAAATACTTCTCATGACATCGTTTCATTCAGACAGACAACCAGGCCTTGCATTTCTTTGTTGCACCGTTTGCATTTTGCACACACACACACCCACATCTTTCTTACCCACAGGTAGAGGAACTTCATTAAAATAATCCCAAACTGGATCTCTTTTACTGCCTGCTACCGTTATAGCTTTTCCCTTCTAGTGGGAGAATGGTGGGGTAGATCACAAATCACTGAAGGCTACCCTCAGAAAGACCTCAACACTTCTGGAATATGCTGCCCAAACAAAACAGTTTACCTTTTTTGTCTACTGCCTGTCCCTCCCTTCTCACATTTATCTCCAGACTCCTTGTCCAGATCTATTCCACCCCTTGAACTCTTGGAAACTTTGCACTTTTACAGACAGGTAAGGGATTGACACTGTATACACCAATTTGCAGAGGGACAATAGAGTTGAGGTCTGTTATTTCTCCCCTCTATATATTAATTACTTGTGCTGCTATCTCAGGAGTCACAAAGCCACAGTTTGAAAACTTCAAAACAAAGCATCTCTGAGGGTATCTATCTTCTAGACCGAGCCCCCAGGGTAGATCGAAAGATTAACCTCAGTCTATACGGAAGGCCCTGGAACCCCATCAAATTGGGTCCCTAATCCATGAACTATTAAAACTCATTTACAAAACATGACATGAATATATCGTCTCCTACTATAGAATCAGAACATATAATCCCTCTTTCATGATATCGTTGAGCTATAATGTATCGATCTTAATTTAAACTCTCTAGATAAAATGCCTTTTGAAGGAAAAAACCCATCAAACATTTCTGATTTAAATAAAATAAAATTGTTTTCTTTTTATCATTGATTTTTATCCACCCTGCTCTGCAGTCAGTATCATGAGTGGCTGGGGCATGGGGCAGCATGACACACACATTCCCATCCATTCTCACAAGAGACAAGCTTGCTTACTAATGGAGAACACCACATCAAATTTTGACATTTCATTTTTCTATAAACTACACAGAAAGGTGTAGCTGTTGTGTTTTGTTGGGTTAAATAAAAACAAGTGCATCACTTATTTATTTATCATTTAAACTACACATTGTGTAGATAACACAAAACACTCACACAAATAAGGATACATCCTTTTAAAAAATACATAACAAACAAACATTACAATATTTTAGTGGGGTTTGAGATTCTGTGCAGCTTTTTTATAGTACCATATAAAGTTTTGAAAAACGGCAGACTGCTTCATTTTAATACAGTTGTTTCAAACGCAATTTAGTCAAAATCTGCCAATTCTAAGCAGCTGCACCCTCGGCATTCTGCACCAGTGCCACCTCCCCCCCACCCAGATCAGACTGATTGCCTACCTTGTTTTCAGACAAAGGGCGGAACAGCATGGTGTCTACAGAGAGCGCCTCATCCACCTACGAGGAGCTGGCACGAGCCTATGAGCACGCCAAGCTCGAGGAGCAATTGCAGCACGCCAAGTTCGAGATCACAGAGTGCTTCATCTCCGATAGCTCTTCCGACCAAATGACCACGGGGACCAATGAGAACGCAGACAGCATGACGTCCATGAGCACCCCATCTGAGCCCGGTATCTGCAGGTTCACCGCCTCCCCACCTAAGCCACAGGACAGCGACAGAGGCAAGAACGTGGCAGTGCCCATCCCGCACAGAGCTAACAAGAGTAAGTATCCCTCAGCTTGCTAAGAGCACCCGCGTCACCCCTGCAGGACTGAGGCTGCAGCGTGGCTCCTACAACCACCAAGGTCCCAGCCCCTGAGAGCTACTGCTCAGCATGGCACTGTCATCCTGCAGAGCGCACACACGGCCCTCCTCCAGATTGGTTTTCAAGCAGCCCTGCTGTGTCGACCAACCAGGGCGGCCCGTGTGAGTCTGGTAGCAGGGCAGGTGTGGCCCCGTCTGGAACGCAAGTGCTCACCTACATTTGCTGCTACTGTCTGTTCCATGATTCTCTTCGTAGCTAGAACAGAAAACAGGGCTTATTTTACACAAGAGTTTGACCACTATTTCCCAGTCTTTAAGGGCTCAGAGGGGAAATGATTTCTTACCACAGAACGTGTCATCTCAGTTTTACCCCGCTACACTCTCGGCCTTTCTAAGGACAAACTGAAGCAGGGATAACAACTAGATAGAGCTGCTGCTCTCAAAAGGAGTCAAGTGCCACTGACCCTATTGCTGTCCTCTAGGTTGCACACACCTACCTAATCCTTTGCAGCTGTTAACTTAGAGCCTTCAGGTTCACACTGTGATCAATGCTTACTAAGCCCACTAGCCTGACATGTCTGTTATAAGGTTTATTATACACCGATGATCCCTGGTAATTTACTGTTTGTGGTGGTATGTATTGGGTGCTGCTTTCAGTCCTTGCCTCTGAAATTCTAAGTTCGTTATAGTCAGAGACGGGAGGCTGGAGACATCCAGTGATGAGGAAAGGTTAAGGGCTCAGTCCTGCAAACACTGCCACCCCTGACCCCACCTTCTTGGAGCTCCATGGGACACCACAGCTATTACTCCCCCATCCATAAATATTTGTAGAATTGGGCCCTAGAAGAGCAAATGAATTTGTCAAGTATCAGAGGGGTAGCCGTGTTAGTCTGAATCTGTAAAAAGCAACAGAGGGTCCTGTGGCACCTTTGAGACTAACAGAAGTACTGGGAGCATAAGCTTTCGTGGGTAAGAACCTCACTTCTTCAGATGCAAGTAGTTGCATCTG